TTGATGTGAATGTAAGAGGAGAGGGAGTGGGAAAGGGGAAGGTTGCGGGTGGGAGGGACGTTATGGGGGGGAAGCCATTGCAATCTATAAGCTGTACTTTGGAAATTTATATTCATTAAATAAAAGTTAAAAAAAAAATGTTTCGTCTCAATACTGCTTTTTCCATATCCCATAAGTTTTGATATGTTGTGTTGTTATCCTCATTTGCTTCCACAAAGTTTTTGATTTCTCTTTTTCTTTCTTGTGTGACCCTGTGTTCATTCAGGAGCATGTTGTTGATTCTCATGTGTTTGCATACTCTCTAGGGATTCCTGAATTGCTAATTTCCACCTTCATTCCACTGTGGTCTGAGAAGCTTCATGGTATGATTCTAATTCTTTTACATTTGCTGAGACTTGCTTTATGATGTAGTATGTGGTCAATCCTAGAGAAGTTCCCATGCACTGATGATAAGAATGTAAAGTCTTTAGATGTAGGATTGAAAGTTCTGTAGATATTTGTTAGATCCATTTGTGCAATAGTGTTGAATAAATCTTCTGTTTCCTTGTTGATCTTCTGTCTTGTTGATCTGTCTATTTCTGAGAGTGGAGTATTGAATTCCCCTAGTACTGTTGTATTGGAATCTTAGTCTCTTTTAAGTCCCTTAACATTCCTTTTAAATAAACCATTGCCCTGTAATTAGCTGCATATACATTTATAATGGTTACATCTTCCTGTTGAATTGAACCCTTAATCATTATATAGTGTCCCTCTTTGTCTCTCCTAACAGTTTTTATGTTAAAGTTTATTTTGTCTGATATTAATATGGCTAAACCTGCTTTTTTTTGTTTCTGTTGGCATGGAATATCTTTTTCCAACCTTTCACTTTCACTCTGCATGCATCCTTGTTGGAAAGATGTGTTTCTTGTAGGCAGCAAATAGATGGGTTTTGTTCCTTAATCCATTCAGCCAGTCTGTGCCTTTTAACTGGAGAGTTAAGTCCATAAACGTTCAATGTGACTAGTGATAAGTAGTGACTTTGCCCTGCCATTTTCCCTAAGATATTTCTAATATATGCTTTGAGCTTCCTGTGATCTTTTACTGGTAGGTTTTTTTCTCTTACCTTCTTTCATATTGATGGCCATGTTTCTGTGTTTCTGTGTGTAGCACATCTTTGAGCATTTTTTGTAGGGCTGGATGAGTGGGGACAAATTCTTTCAATTTCTGTTTGCTATGAAAGGTCTTTATTTCATCTTCATTCACAAATGAGAGCTTTGCAGGATATAGTATTCTAGGCTGGCAGTTTTTCTCTCTTACTACCTGGGCTATATCTCACCATTCCCTCCTAGCCTATAGGGTTTCTGATGAGAAGTCAGTTGTGAGTCTGATTGGAGATCCTCTGAGAGTAATTTGACGTTTCTCTCTTGCACATTTTAGGATCTTTTCTTTATGTTTCACTGTGGTGAGTTTAATTACAACGTGCCATGGTGAGGATCTCTTTTGGTCATGTTTATTAGGGGTTCTATGAGCTTCCTGTACTAGGATGTCTCTGTCCTTCTTCAAACCTGGGAAATTTTCTGCTAGTATCTCACTAAAAAGGCCTTCTAATCCTTTCTCCCTCTCCATGCCTTCAGGAACTCCTAGAACTCGAATGTTGGTTTTTTTTAATAGTATCCTGTAGATTCCTGACAATATTTTTTAGATTTCTAATTTCCTCTTCTTTTCTTTGGTCTGACTGTATACTTTCCTGTTCCCTGTCTTCTAAGTCTGATATTCTCTCTTCTGCTTCACCCATTCTGTTTTTAAGGCTCTCTAATGTGTTTGTCATTTGATCTATTGAAATCTTCATTTCATTATGATTTTTCGTCACTATCACAGTTTCATGTTCTACTAGTTGTGTCATTGCAGAATGTGGATTTTTTCCCTCTGGTGAAATCCCTGCGTCATACATGTGCACAAGAGCTGCTGGCCACAGCACCTATTTGTTTCACACTGGTGCCTTCTCCCTACTGGTAAATACCTGATTGCAGACACTGTGAAAACAAATATTAAGTTTGATCCTTGCTCAAGAACTCCCAATGGCTTCCCATCCCTGTTCCAAGAAATGCAAATCTTAACCAGAGTCTATTTCTTCAGTCTCACTTTTCTCTCTTTTCCCTAAAATATAAACTCCATCAGTGAAAAGACATTGTATTGTTCATTTTTCGATACCCTATTGCTAAGACACTGCTAGCAAGAGAAGTTCAATTTCATATTTATTAGATAATAAATGGATGAATGAATACTTGAATTATTTTCTGTCAAATGAGAGAGAATCCTCAAGGATGCAGACACACTCAGCATCAGGTGAAACTAATTAGATTCATAGTTACAGGAACCCTGTTCACATTGAGTTTAATAGCAGTGGACTTCAAAGAGAGGTGCATTCTCCACAGGGAATTTGTATGACTAGTCATTAGAGTTTTACACTTTCCCTATGGTGAAGAAAACCCCTCTTCCACTTAAGATTTCATCCAGGAGAAACAGGGCTTCATGGATCTGCCTCATCTGCCAATGTAGTAGGAAACTCAGCCAGGCAGACAACTGTATATATATCCTAACTGGCTTGTGGGGTAGTACCTGAAGCTACTTGTAAAGCTATTCAAATTAAATTTTCTGCCATCAGAGAGAGGATTCTCTTGCTCACTGCATAAAGAAATATATTAATAGACCAGATGCTCTGTGCATTTGCTCATCTGCTCAGAAACACAAAAAGTTCAGTGCTTTACAGTGCATTATCTGGATTAGAAAAACCTGGGTTCAAATAAGAGGGGTGTCTCTTCTTTGCCAAGGGATCTTGCATGATTCCACATGCAAAATGATGGTAGTAGCTCCTATTTGTTTTGCTGTCACTATTGTTGCTTTATTACATCATATGGAAACTAAAAATAATCTAATCATTGTGTTCAGCTAACATAGCAAATCTCTCAATATATGTTAGATGGCAATATTTATTCCTTTATATCCTCTCACATGTTCCTTGCAAAAGTTTAGACAGTTTTCATTTGTGAGTCTTTTGTTTTGGCTTCAAAATGCTTAATTTATTTAAAAAAGAGAAGTTCAAAATATTTGCAGGAATTATTTTTAACAAAAAATCCATGTCATGTTTCCTAGTCTCCTTCTTCCTCTTTCATTAATACAACACCACACAGCAGCCTCATCAAAAAGGTCAGTTTTCAAATGATGCACCTGAAACCTCACCTAAAGAAAGCTTGTTCCATTAGGGGTGGTTCATTTTAAATTCTGACTCTTATCAGTTTATGAAATTTTACATAAGTTGCCTTTTCCATATTGATTTTTTTTGTTCAGGAATTATAAAAACACACATTAGCCACTAATCCTCTGCCTGCGGCGCTGGCACACCAGGTTCTAGTCCCAATCGGGGCACCAGATTCTGTCCTGGTTGCCCTTCTTCCAGTCCAGCTCTCTGCTCTGGCCCGGGAGTGCAATGGAGGATGGCCCAAGTCCTTAGGCCCTGCACTCGCATGGAAGACCAGGAGAAGCACCTGGCTCCTGGCTTCGGATCAGTGCGGTGTGCTGGCTGCAGCAAGCCGGCCGCAGTGGCCATTGTGGGGGTGAACCAATGGCAAAGGAAGACCTTTCTCTCTGTCTCTCTCTCTCTCACTGTCCACTCTGCCTGTCAAAAAACAAAAAAAAAAAGAAAAAAAAAGAAACATTAGCAAGATAGGCACTTAATTTTAAAAAAAATTTGTTTCCCTAAAGATACTAATTGAAATGAGAAATTTATTTCAAATATAGAATTATAGAAAAGAAACACTAAAATGATTTTATCATTAAACTAATGATTGGAAGCAAATTAATTTGGAGTCTAGAACCAAGTAATGACACACTGACACATATTTTTCTCCTGAAACATCGGAAAAATTTTTAAATTTAAATCACCTTTGCATCCCAAGTCTGCCTCTTGTATATATGTGCTTTTTTCTCATCCATATTGTAAGGAAAGATTTATTCGCTACAGAAGTTCTCAACCTTTTTTCCCCCTGTTTCATATTCTGCCATCCTGTATTCTTCAGCTAAACTAGTTGAAGCATTTAGTCGTGACATAGTCTAGATTATTTCACAACAATCATTTTGCTCTTTTGGACAGATGCTGTTGTAAATTCAAGAGATTGACAGAATTAAAAACACTAGCTAATTGGGAGATTATACTTCAGTTATAGACTAAGATTTATTAAGTGCCTGTACAATAAACCAAACGAGATATTGCTCAAAGAACACATGAGAAACAAAGCCAAAAAATCTTATTTGCCTGTATTACATAAATATATTAGGAATGCATCTGTTTATTTATCATCTATCATTTGTCTATGTATTCTTTATGGTTATGTATATTTAAAATTATAGGAATTTAAGCTTTATATGTCTATAAATATACAAAATATATTGATTTTGAATTCTTATTTATTTATTTTCATGTTATTTTAAAGAGAGAGAGCTCTTCCATCTACTGGTTCACTTCCCAAATGCCTGCAAATGCTAGGGCTGAGCAAAGCAGAATCCAGGAACTTGGAACTCAATCTGTTTTTCCTGTGTGGATGACAGGAGCTCAAGTGCTTGAGTTGTAGCTCACCGCCCCACAGGACATGTATTATAGGAAGCTGAAGTCTGAAATGTAAAAGGCTCTTGACACAAGGCACTTAGATGTGGGCAATGGGCATCACAAGTGGTCTTTTAACTACTGCTCTAGGCCCTTGCCTCCTAAATATATTCTTAACAAAATCTAAAAATGTGCTTAATTCTCAAAGAATTAAGAATATATATATATATAAAAATTTAAAAACATCTAAATTAGCAACATATAAAATGTATAATTCTTTCTCTGTAAAATAATGATCAGAAATTAAATGTAAAATTTGTGATTAAATATTGCATATTTGGCATAGTAATTATGTTGTAAATAATCAATTGTTATATATATATATTTTTGTCTAATACATCTATGTGTGATAATGATATATTAATGTAGTTATATAGTTATATTGATCATGTATAAAATAATGTAGAATTATTTCCAAACATAAAAATATAAGATGTAAATATTCTAAAGGAAATGATGGGGCAAATATTTAAATAACTAATGGCTATATATTATTAGGAATACAGTCTCTCAAGAACCACCATATAAAAAGGATATTTTAAGGAAATCTTGGCATAAAGTAATTTGGAGGCACTCATAGCTAACCGTTCGCATCTGATTAAACTCTTTTATCTGATTCAATTTTTTATGCATCACCCCTATCTCCAAGTCATCTATCCCCAAATATCCCTTTCATATTACATAGTAAAGATTTGCTGAGCTTTTTCTCTGCAGTATTGAAAAATCCTTTGACTTCTCATGATTTCTCACCCACAACACAAACAATTATTACTTTTGTCACTTACTGTCCTTACACCTGTGGGAGCAATAATACTTAGTAAGATTAACTTCTGTGAATAACTTATCTGAGGGAAACCCATGATATCCTTATTAAAGAAGCAATGGAAAGATCACAATGAGCATTTAAAAATTTATTTATTAGCTTTAAATATGCAAAAGACCAAGATGACTTAAGTTTGAAAATATATTTATACTTGATGAAGTGCCATTGTTCTACTACAAATAGCACTTCTATTATCAAACAACTCTTTCTCTAGATCAGAGTTAATTGAAAATCATCAAAAATATTTAGGGTCATGCTCTGGTGGGAAGAGTATGGTAAGGGTAGAAATTCAGTTTGGGGATACAAAATTAGGGGGTAAGAGTACTGCATTTCAAGGCTGTGAATGTTTGGATAGCAATAATTCCACAAAAGAAACAGAACATAAGCATATAAACAAACAGAACTGAGCCGCCTCACAGAAACCCTGGGAGCCTCAAGTTGCTAAAATAGTTTCCCATATGTCTGAGAGTTCTGCAGATGGACACAGGAGTCAATATAATTAGAATGGCCTTCTGGCTGGAAAAGATGCTATCAAGGCTATGTTGGATGCTGCAACCAGGAGCTAGAAAGGAATGTAGATGTCTCAGCAGAGACCATCACAAACAATTTCAAAACCTGGGATAGCTAGAAAACTTTTTCCATGTTGGATGCAAGGAAAACTGACATCTTAACTGAGATCCCTCAAGAATTAAAATGAGAGGGGTTCAGTGATAACCCTAGTGTCTAAAATGCCCACTTCCTCTTCTTGAACACCTAGATTGATTCCAGGCTCTGACCCTGAGTTCTTCTTCCTACCAAAGCAGACCCCAGGAAGCAGTGATAATAGATCCAGTAATTGAATACTTGCCTTCTATATGAAATTGACCCAGAAAAATTCTTTGTGGGAAGTCAGGGGGTGAACCAATTGATGAGAGGCGTTTCTGCTTTTGTTTCTCAAATTCATTAAATAAAAAATAAGAATTAGAAGTAGAGAAACAGGTATGAATGTTAGAAATTTGCTTTGCAAGTCAAGAAAACACTGTTTTCTCTTGAAATGCTACTTTTAATATCAGCAGATTATATTTCCATTATCACATAGTTTGAGCTAAGTCATGCAAAAACCAGGCCATTTTATTTATTCTTATTAAATTCTGTGGTCATACTTAAAACACCATAGGGTCATAATGTACTGAAATTCGTGGGCTGGGAGTCAAAGGATACAACAGAGGCTAATAATACAAGTGTATGGGTTACCTCTTTCTAAGAAATGTCTCAGGACCAAATGAGTAGGCACTGTTTATTTTATAGAATGAATTAATGTTTTGCCAAACAAGGTTTAGGGATGACAGGCCTGCTATACTTCATACCCATATCAGGATTGTTGACACCAACTGCTGTAACTTTGTGTCCTGCATATAGCATTCATTCTCTACTAGCATTCTGTAGCATGTATGGATGTGCTTTTCACAAAGGAACGGTTTTCCACTAATGCCAGCGTGTAATTCATTTGGAAACAAAATTCTAATTTATGGAAATTATGGTCCAATTCTTTAAAGGAGTTAAGTCTTGCACAACACACCACAAATCTACTATGGGTACCATCAGCAGCTTCAGATATTCTGGACCACACTATTTAATTGGTGGGATTGCAAATACTAAAGCTTGAATCTTATGCAAAACATTTCTTCTGCACCCTACTGAGGGCAAATTTCAAAGTTATTAATAAATAATTTAGAGCCATCTTCATACAGGTAGTAGTGTAGTCCTCAGAAAACAAAGAAATTTACCAAAAGCTGTATTGATTTCTTTGTAGTAGCAGATGTAAGGTGCAACAATTTGCCTTTTACTTCAAAAATTGGGATGCAATGCACCATTAGCATTGGTTCCTATAAATTTGAGGATAACACCAAAGTTTATCATCTACCTAGATGTAATATTGCCTAGGATTTATTATCTAGACTTAAGCACAGGAAAATATTACTAGAGCTTCCACGTACATCTTCCATTTTGTATACTAAGGTACCAGAGAAATGAACAGCATGGTTAAATGACTCAGCGGTTCTTTTGAAAGGTGGAGGTAGATTGTGTTGCCATTTGTCTCTGAGGTTCTGTATTCTGCCACAGAAATAAAGGAACTGACAGTGCTTGAAAAGAGGGGAAATTAGATTCATTTCAAAATTTTGATATACCAAATTTGGTATCACTAATTTATCTAATCCATAGCCAGGATAGTGTACTACATCATGCACAGTATCTGCCCATGTTTCATGGCTTTAGCATGTAAATGATGATGGGAGAGGGAGTACACAGAAAGGAGCTAGATATATAACCTCCAAACCAGCCACAGAACCTAAAACTACTGAAGAATCCATTCTCTCTCACTCTACACACACACACATTCTCTCTCTCACACACAGTCACTATTTTATATGGTTGATTAGGAGTTATGTACAATAATCAATAACAATTATTTTGTAACTTTGCTTGAATAATATATTAAATGTAGACCGATACAACTATAGTTCCTAATGTTCAATCATTAAAATCATGTTACTAACATTGTCAATATGATGTTTTATCTGTAAATGAGAAATCTATATAGTGTATTATAATTCCTCATGTGAAATTCCTTGAAGATTTTATACAGAAGTCAGAAATTACATTCCTCAGAGTAAGGATTAGAGCAAGGATTATAGCTATGGAGCTATCAACTCTACAAACCACTTTCTCTTGTATGACCATAATGGAGGATTGGAGCAATTTTAAATGCAATAACAAAAAATAATATCTCTGGAAAATACTGAGAAATAGACATATGCTGGGATAACTAAGAATTTGTGAGAAAGATTACAGCCAGAATTTGAAAAAATACACAGAGAACACTCTAATGACAAATTGTATCCTTTGGTAAATGTGTAATCAAGTATTGCTGTATTAGAAATCAAAACCCGAGGGAATTTATGCAGTCAAACCCTAAGAGCAGTAATAATCACAGCAACAAAAACAAACCCAAGAAGCTAAAAACTAATTTAGGGACCTACCATTATTACTGGGTTATGGCATATTCTGGCATCTGCAAGCTACTTCACTTTGGAAACTTAATTTCATGCTTGCCTACACCTGTAAAACTTTTGAGTGAAGGGTCTTGTTGAGGTTTGGAATGGTCAAAGAAATGCCAAAACTGTGATTAAAGAAAGGCAAGGAAAAATTGTCAACATCAAAGAAGTTAATGATATTTTTCTTTAAAACATAAATTACATTTGTAAACTGAAAATGTTAACTGTGAATATGGTTGATGCAAACGTCTGTTCAAAACATTGCACACTGAATTTTGTGGAGTTTAGTCTTAGATTTCAAATCTAGCATTCCTTTTTACATCCTGTAGACTAGGATAATGAAGCATATTTTTTACAATTTTTATATTCTAAGTACTATATTTCTTTCAAATACATTTGAAGAAAACATGAGTTCCAAACCTTCCCTAGTTTCACCTAGAAAAGTACAGGTTCAACTTTATGTATCTAAAATGTAAGCAGATATAAATGAGAAACTGAAAAAGTGATGAACACCATGTTATTAAGTAAAGGAACATGTGGGTGGTCTGTCTAAATACTGGATTGAAAATGTATCATACATACCTGGTAGTGTTTAAAAGGCTGCATGCGGCTCAGACATATATTATTGTGAAATAATTCTTGGGTTTACAGTGGAAATGGATAGGTTTTACCATGAAGTGGGGGGTAGGACATTGAAATATAAGAGTGAAAATGTATGGAAGTACAGAATTTGGCTGAAGTTTTGTTCATACAAGCCATTTTGTCTAAGGGAGCCAATTCTACCGGCGATGTGGGCTCAGAAAGTCTACGGAGGAAAGACTTGATGCCTTGCTGCAAAAATGCAATTGACAACCTCCAGCTTTCTCAGCTTCAGATCTAACTCAGCTACAGACAGCTGCGGTGCCTGAGGCCTTTAGAGTGTGTGGGAGGAGGACTGCAGATGTCTTAAATCCACTAAATAGGTGAGGTGGGGAATAAAGACCCACCTATTTCAGCCTGGCTTGGGACAACTTTGTTGGTGAGTACACATTTCGGAGCTACCCACGGGGCTGGTTAAGACTTTATCAGCACTATGTTACTATTCGGCTTCTGTTTAATCCTTCTTTCTTCCTTCTTTATTTCACAGATGCTGTTCTTATTTGATAGATCACAAATCCAGCTCAGCACCTGTTTCTGGAAAATCCAGTATGCAACACAAAGATACCCATATGTTGAATTCTAGATTCACTTTGAGCTGTCATTGAACATTTTTTCCGGACACCATCTATTCTCTGATGGCACATGGAAATTTTGAGAGAGAAAAAAAAAAACTACATGGTACTACAAACACTAAAAGTTAAAACAACAAACTTCTTGAAAGACATGGTTTTGTACACAGTAGTCACATTCAAGTCACACCTAATCCAGTTTTTCCTTCCAAATTTCCACATATGCTTTCAATCAGCTACTTTGTCTCAAGAGTATCAGTGGGCATTTGGGGATTAGAATGTTTGTGAATGTACTTATATTTTCTCTGACTATCAAAAGATCACAGTTCCTTATAGAACATCATCATTTAAATGATCTATCTGATGTGAATGCCCACACACTTTTATTATTCCTTCTTGTTTGCATCTTTGCAAAGGCCTGTTATTTTCACATCCAGAAAGAGTTATAAAATTTATTTTTGATGCATTCAGCAGTGATGCTTTCATTAACCTCTTCCCCACTTTCCCAGAGAGAACACGCTAGAAAGGGCTTCTTATTTTAACACTGTCTTAGATCTTTCTAAAATTGGCAAACTTCACTGGGGCATCAGAGTTTATTTTCTAGGAACTCTTCTACCTCTGCATTGAGCCAGTGGATTTTCTACCTAAAGGAAGCAGAGCATCATGATCACACTCATAGAAACTCATTCTATAAGATGCATTCAAAGACATGATGCTAACACTGCTACTTAGAACTTCGCATTATTGAGTCCTCGTCTGATCACCAACAGCATTGGCTATTTGGGTTAATGCTTTGAATTGCCATGGAAGCACATCTAAAAATTACCACTGATGTTGCCTAGGTACAGTCACTTAGCTTAGTTTTTCTTTTTTAATTTAGCATCATTTTAAATTATCTACTTATTTGTTTAAATATAATATACCTGCACATGATAACAATTCAAAATAGGAAATTCTTCCTTAGTCCCCCACCCACTATCCAATGTAAACTAACATGCTCATATTTTAAAAATAATTTAGTGTATAAACTTCATGTTTTCTGCCTACATCTTTTCCAAATGCAACAGATTTTTCTCAAAAAAATTCAATGTATTTCTCAAGGTCACAGAACTATTATGTAAAGGAACCAGAACTGAATCCAGGTATTTTTGACTCTAAATAAGCATGCTCTTAATCACAATATCCAAAATATTAAGAATAAATGCAATTCACAGATCCCTTGTTAAAATAATGAGATAAGTTGTTCAAGTTTTTAGAAAGTATCTTTTTCTTGGATCAAAATATTGTCAGAATACATATTTTGTTACAGAAAAATACCTGCCTGTCACATGCCAAGAATATCCCCTATAATATCCAAATCAAGGAAGTCTACACTGCAAAAGTCTTCCCACTTCATGCAGTGCACAACTACATTAAAACCCTGGTAACAAATTTCAAGGTTTAGTTTTAATCTCCAATTCAGTGAATTTGATGGGTTCCAAAGAACAGTCAGCAAAGAATACACTTCAACCAAAGGGTGAGATTAATAACTTTCTATAAAGTTACTATTCCTTCTAAAATGAGATGAGTATGCAAGGCTATTCCTAGCACCAAAATACTTGTAGAACATGGAGCCAGATGGTAGAAAACTTTCATAGGCATACAAGAAGTTTTAGGATTGCATGAATAAGAAATCCTTATCTACTGATATGTAACTAAAGGCAAGGATTTTGCAGCACATATTGTGGAGAATGTAACCTTCTAAGAGAAAGAATTCTGAAAACACAAAAATCAAAATGAATTTTAGTTAACGTAGATGTAGAAATGTAAAATTTTACTAAAATATCAAGAATACTCACATAGGAAAGGGATATCTCCATTCTCTTTAGTGTTATACAAGAATACAAACAAAACTAGTACTTGGATGGACCACATCAACAATACCAAAAGACATCCCTTGGCTAAATGCTTTTCATTAGTTTTGGTAAAGTAAAACCATATGTTAATGGAGGGCTTTTTAAGGTCTGTACTTTTAAGTCTCATGTAACCTGCCACATAAATACATACATATTTTGTAGACTGTTAGGGATTTATACATTTAAAACTAGTACATCTATACTGTTCACAAAATATGGCATTGAATATTGGTTGTTACATGAAACAAATACACACTTGGATTTATTCTACCAAATTTGCTACAGCTGCCTTGATTCTGGAACCAAAAATAGGCGGTTTAGGTAAGATGAGCAATAAATCACAATTGATTCTTGTTTACTAGAGGCTATGCTTGACTTTGCATGAGTTTAGTATTGTTCATAATCTGAAAACACAACTTAGTTTTTCTCTCTTGATTTAAGATACATCTCAGAGTTGAGGGTGGCTAGTTACAACTGATGAGCATATTTCAATATGCAACTAATATGCCCATTTAGATCCATGGAAGCAAAATGCATCCAAGGTTAAAAAAAATGTGGGGTTAAGAAACCAGAATGGTAAAATATCATCAATGGCCCTTTCATGTTATCCATCTCTGAAGAGATGGAAAAGTCTTCGTCCAAACCATATTATTTGCACCCTGTTTAATCATGGTGAATCACTGTACTGTCATTCTCAGATTTAGTATGTGTTGTTTATAATATTTTTCTATAAATATATTACATATGCTTTATTGAAAATGCAGAAAGTAGAGATAAACTTTCATGAGAAAACTGAATTTTCTCCAAATTCTACTATCAAGAAGTGAACACATATCATTATGCCACAACATAGATCCCATTTAGTGTATATTTTGTTTTAATTGAATTTGATTCCATTAGAATGCAAACTATATTAGAAAAAACATTTGATGGTCTTTTATCATTAAAATCTCCCATAACCACTTATCAATATGTGATGTCCACTGAGCTTCATCCTGCTCCATTACATATTAAAATTATATATGCCATTTTGAAGATATGCTTTAGATTTTTGTCTATTTCTTATGCTTTATCCTTATTTACACAGTATCCTGGGTGTTTCAGGCTTTGAATTTTTGCATAAATTTTGATTTAGAGTTTATCACAGGTCCATGTATGCATTCAACTGTGATTATGAGTTTTTAGATATATCTATATACATGGTACAAAGGAGAGAGGTGAGTGGAATTTGATGTTCACATTCTAGAAATGCACTCCTGAACTTAACATTGGAAATAAAATTGTCATAACAGTATGAGAAACTGATTTTAGTAAGAGTAGGAAAAAAACTTGAAAAATAATTAATTTGGGGATGGTTGTTTTGTGCAGGTGTTAATCATTGATTAGGGCATCCACACCCTATGTCTGAGTCCTTGGATTCAGGTCCTGATTCTTCTTCAGCTGCAGCTTCTGACTAAAATGCACCCTGGAAGTCTGAAGATGATGGCTCAAGCACTTGGATTCTGCCACCCACATGGGAGATCTGGACTGAGCTCCAGGTTCCTGACTTCTGCTGCATCCATCCCTGGATCTTACAGGCAATTGGGGAGTGAACCTGTGGATGGAAGATTCTCTTTCTCTTTCTGTTTCTCTTTCTGTTTCTCTTTCTGTTTCTCTTTCTCTTTCTCTTTCTCTCTCTCTCTCTCTCTTTCTCTCTCTCTCTTTATCATCTCCATCTCTATCTTTATCTCTGTCTCTATCATTTATCTATTTCTATTTCTATCTCCGATTTTCAAATAAATATTAAAAATAGTAAAGTTTGACTCAAAAATTCTATTTTTATGAAACAAAAATATAAATAGAAAGCACTCTTTATCACCTTAAATATTTTATCTTAAAGTTGCATCTTTGTGATTGTTCCATGGTAACAAATAGAAATACGTCTGTGAAAAATGGTGCTTGGCATCTCCCTGCACTGCTGCTCTACACTAAGTTAAACAGCTTAGAAAATATCTTCACTGTTCTCCTCACATAAGCAGTTATAAAACTGACATCTTTGTTTATGTGTTTGTGATGAGTGTGGGTACCTCTGTCTCAAATCAGATGGCATGAGAATTTTCCACAAATAATGTCTATTTGCTATTTTAAGAGTCTTGAAAAATCAATATTCTTATGAATGGTTTATGAAAGCATTCTAGTTAACCTTGCATGAGGTTATAACCTTACTTGAGGTTTTATCTTCATCAATTCAGTTGGTGGAAAAGCAGTTTTACTTATTTTGAAACGTTTCTTCATTTGTTACTAATTGGAATTTAACCAATTATTTATGTTGGGTTACCATTGTGGTCAAAACAAATTACTGTACACTTAGTGGTTAAACAACATATATTTATTCAACAGTAATATATGTCAAATACCCTGGTGGGCTCATTTGTATCCCTTGTCTAGGTTCTCCCAAGGATATAATCGAAAGATTGACAGAGATGTCTACTTTACTGGAGCTCTGGAGAAGATTTCACTTCCAAGCTCATCCAGGTTTTTGGACAAATTTTATTCCTCATGGTTGTTGGGCTGCAGTCTCCATTTCCTTGCTAGATCTCTGTGGAGGTTTGGACTTTGTTCTCCTTTTTGCTGCCCCTCTCTTGTTTCAGCCTGGGGATGCTTTGTTTGTTTGTTTGTTTGTTTGTTTTGAGGGCTACATGCAGTTAGACTGTGTCCAACTCAACAGTCCAGAGCATTTTCTCTGTTTTAAGGTGCTTAATCTCAACCGCAACTCTAAATTCCCTTTTAAACAACATATTTACATGTGACAGGAAATAGACCATTGACATAACTGGGGGAGAGGCATTGTACCTATCAAACAAATGTGTTTGATCAATCATTTAATCCTAGATCAGAGAAGAATGTGGACTCATCTATTTTAGCCTTAAATTATACCTATCCAATGCTGATTGATGGGAAAATGATATTCTTAATATCTTAAATGAGGAATTAGACCTTGAATTATGCACTGATAAATTTTAATATATAAAACCAGCATAAATATGTTCATAGAGACACAGATATTGAGAAATATCACCATTTTTGAGAAATGTCACTTTAAAATAAAATTTTCCACTGTATTATAACTACTTACTCATGACACAAAATTACGAATTCAAGAAATGGGAAATTTCTAATGGTTAAGTCATGTATAAGGTGTGTGTGTGTGTGATTTTTACCATGTTTGTATATGTGTCCTAAGGCAACAATCCCAATGTCAATCAAACTTATTACAATTAGAATCATGAAATTATAAGACACTACAACCGGGTTCTAAATATGTTCGACATTGTGCAAGACTGCATCATGCTCCTTCACCACCGGAATCCATGTCCCAATCACCAGAACATGTGAATATATTCTATTTCATGGCAAAGGGCAATTAAATGAATGCTTTCGTGATTCAAATGCATATCTACTTGACACAATGTCAGCGAGATTGGTGTAGGAGAGTAAAAGCATCCAGACAGTTTCTCAGTAATCACCATCATGCAAGCATGTAGGGTACCGTGGCTCCTCAGCATTGGCTTATTTCAGCTTGAAAAAAGAAAAATGCCACTTGTTTCTTTTAGTAGCTTCTAACTTCCAGTTCTATAACACCAGTACAAGCTTCCTAAAATGCCTATAATGGCAAATGCAATAGAGCTTTAATGGCAAAGCAATTGAGTTGTGCTTTGGGGAAGGTGGGATGAAACACACCAGGAATCTTCAAATGGAAGCTAATAACTGCCTATTCATAGTCCAATGTCATGCTATCAGAATCGGCCAAGGGTAATTGAATACAGTGAATGTTATCCAACATTTTTATTTTTTGTAAGAAGATAATGTGTCTTAATATTATAAATAATTTACTGAAGGTTACATTGCTTTGGACACTAGGAGTAAATGATATTCCTTTTCTAAGTAACATTATGTTTTATATTTCAATGTCTATTTGTCATTTTATGAAAAAAAAACACCTTCCTTATGTTTGCCTTCCCATTATTGAATTTTTCATTGAAAGTGAAATCCTGCTTTGTATTCTCCTTAGTGTAGAGCTGTTTGCTACTATTTTATCTTTAAGGAAGAATCCTAACCCATGGGACACCTTGAGACTTGTTGCTATTATCAAAAGAGAGGGCATAGGGACAGGAGGTGAAAAGACCAAGCAATATATAAAAATCATTTACAGCAAAGTTCACCTAGATGTTTTTCTCAAATCCCAACACACTCCTTCCCTCACTCCTTTAAGAACAGATGTGACTCCTAGAACATCAGAGAATCAGCAGGGTAAGCAAAAGGTTATACAGAGTTGAAAAACAGAAAATTTGAAAAATCAGCATATCTTTAAAAATCTACCTTGAATAAGGGTTCCTACTATTTATACTTGATATTATACCTTTAATTCCAAAAGCAAAGTCTCACTGACTCATCCTGATCTAGAAATTAATGTCATAATAAGCATAGATTGTGAAAGATAAATTCCAAATGTTGTAGATATCATTATAATGGGTCACTTTAAGGTTTATATATATTATTTCATAATGTAAAGTTATAGAGAAAAAAATCACGACAGTGGCACTTAGTCTCATATATTCTAGTTATTTTATCATTTTTAGTGATTTTTCATATTAGTAATTAACATTAAAAGTTCATAAGCTGGTCTTGATAGCATATAATGAACAAATTTTCAAATTTAGCACATACTGACATTTCTTTTCTCTAGGTGGTGACTGTTGACCCTATTAGTTACATTGATAAAACGGAGCTTACAATTTTAAATTACTTAGAGTTTTAAAAGTAAATCACTGCATAACTTGTCTTTAGTCCAGCCTTGAGAACATCGATTTTGTTGTGTCAACTTTCCTGAATGGCGAACAGATACATTAATACAAGCACAGACTCAAATTTTAACTATCCTTACCAAAGCATTTCTGTTTGATTTACTTTAGATACTTCATATTCAGCACAGGTTAAAAGAGTGTACTCCATATGGTGTTCAAAATATATGCTAAGGATTAGAGTCTTTTTTCTTCTTAAGTATATTTGACAATTCTAAAACCTTTAGGCACTAGCTACCTTCTAAGTGTGTTGAGTGATCATAGTACATTTTGATGAAACAAACATATTTATCTTAGTATTAAAATCATAAACTGAAGTTATTTATTTGTACAAACACACACACACACGTGTTTTTAAAGAGAGACTTTCTCGAATATAAGTAAATCAATGACGATCACATGTCAAGCCCAGATAACTTCTTGATTATTGTGAATACAATTAAGGTAAATGAATACCAAACTGTTGTTTCTGGGGGCCAGCGCCGTGGCTCACTTGGTTAATCCTCCACCTGCGGCACCGGCATCCCATATGTGTGCCGGATTCTAGTTCCGGTTGCTCCTCTTCCAGTCCAGCTCTCTGCTTTGGCCCAGGAGGGCATTAGAGGATGGCCCAAGTCCTTGGGCCCCTGCACCCACATGGGAGACCAGGAGGAAGCACCTGGCTCCTGGCTTCGGATCGGTGTAGCACCAGCCTTAGCGGCCATTTGGGGGGTGAACCGACGAAAGGAAGAACTTTCTCTCTGTCTCTCTCTCACTGTCTAACTCTATCTGTCAAATAAATAAATTAAAAAACAAAACATTGTTTCTGAGTTTATTTTTTAGAAAGGCAGGCTACTGCTGATAGTTACCTAAGAATAATGCACAGTGGTTAGATTTTAAAAGTTCACCTTTCATGCCATATGCCTGCATACTATTTCCTAATTGCATTTACACACCAGTGCATGTCATTGAAGAGAAGAAAAGACATATGACAGAGAGTAAAATTTTTGAAAGTGATGAAGAAGTGGGAGTATAGGAGTACGGTAAGTAAGAGACACTGGTTATGGAAACATAAAAGATGCTATCAGTTTAAATGTACTAAAATGTAAAAATGTTTATATTTTCCTGACATATAGCTATAGAGCAAAGAAAGGGAGTAGATATATAAATATATGTGACATGATATATGTGAACAATGCATAACTTAGAAATATTGTGTCCAGGCTGGCACCACAGCTCACCAGGCTAACCCTCTGCCTGCTGCGCTGGCACATCGGGTTCCAGTCCCTGTTGGGGCACCGGATTCTGTCCCAGTTGCCCCTCTTCCAGTCCAGCTCTCTGCTGTGGCCCGGGAATGCAATGGAGGATGGCCCAAGTCCTTGGGCCCTGCACCCGCATGGGAGACCAGGAGAAGCACCTGGCTCCTGGCTTCAGATCAGCGTGGTGCACCAGCCACAGCGCGCTGCTGTAGCTGCCATTGGAGGGTGAACCAACGGCAAAAGGAAGACCTTTCTCTCTGCCTCTCTCTCTCTCTCTCTCTCTCTCTCTCACTGTCCACTCTGCCTGTCAAAAAAAAAATACTGTGTCCAGAAGATAATTAATATTGAATAAATGCAAGTTTCCATTTATAACCAATAAGCCCAGAAATAAAGTGACTGGTTGACATTCTTTTGGTGTTCAGAAAGTGTCCAGTTAACAGATGAAGCCACACTGTGTGTCTTATGTTTAAATATCAGTGATAGAATTACAGTATTTTATAGTTTGAATTGCCTCCTCTAAAATCTCATGTGATGAATACAGTACACCAGAATACAAACTTATTTGCAATTATAACTGTGAAAGATTTAACAAAATGAGATGAGGTTTTTCAGCAGTAAGCCCTTAGTACCTATGACTAGTGGCCTTGTAAAAATGAAAACCATGAAGACACAGCCATGTGTCTCACAAGGAGAATGCCTGGAGGCACAGAGGCAGAGATTGGGGATGTGTCTATAGACTAGAAATATCAAAGATTTGCAGCAATCCATCAGAGGCTGTGATCTCAGATCATATAAGCAGCTCTCAGACTTATAAACTCCAGAAATGTGAGAGAATCAATTTTTGTTGTTTAAGATGTTGGGTTTGTGGTAAATTGTAATGGAAGCCCTACCAAACTAGTACATGGTGTATCTGCATCACTGTTCCTTACATAAATATTCTACTAAAGGTTCATGGAAAAACAGAATGAAAAAATATGTTTATTTTGATTCAAACATTTTGAAATCATGCAGTTTTTTACATAATATATAGTTACCACGAAGTTCTTGACGACCCCTTGTATACATGGATTCCAAATCAACTGCACCAAAATTGATATCTTTTAATCTCATTTTCATGAACTTTTTGAAGTGCCCCTATGGGCATGGATGTCTTAAAAAGTTGGGCATAAACACATGAATGTTGAGAAAAGACACAACCCTGGAATGACCTTGCACTTAGTGAAGATAATTAGATATTGATATTGCATCTTATGAGTAGAAATTGGCAATAAATGAAAACTCATAGAAAATATTTTAAAAATCTATTATCTACCTTCTCTATAAAAATTCTAATTTTGTATTTCATGTTTATTTTACAGATAAAAATAAATAACACTGCTCTCTAGTACATCTAAATCCTTTTGAGTTCTAGGTGATTTGGAAGTGGGAAAATCAATTGATTTATGTCTGCAGCAATGAAGCAGTATCATCGAGAAAACCAGAAAAAAAAACAAGAAAATAACAAACAAAATCTGAAGAGCATAAGATAAATAGCAGTTTAGATTTATATGAAATTGTTACATATAAGAAAAATATATTTATAGATGAAATCTACAAGAAGGTAACCAAAACCAAGTATTGTAATATAGGAATAACAATCACAACATAGCTAACAATATTATTCAATAAGTATTTGTTGAGCACTTACTCTATGCCTAGCATTATGTGGGACTCTGAAGACATAAGAATTCAGGGAAAAAAGAGCTATCTTCAAATTGGGAATGAAGATATCAAGTCTGCAGTCAAATGTATTTGATGAACTCAGGTTTTTATAAATTTCTAAAGGAAGCTAAGGCATGATAGCTGCTTCAGTTAAGGTCATAAAGAATGCCTCTAAAAGGAGGTCTTTAAAGTGAGGGAGTTTCTCTTACAGAAGGAACTAGGTAAGGAGCTATCTATACATAAGACACTAGAATTCTAAACTGAAAAAGAATAAACAAGTTTTGATTCAGAAGAGAGATGTAATTTCTGTGAAAATCAGCACTCAAAACTCAAATTGTCTTTCCTGAATTAAGACGATATACACCTGAACTGAGCAAAACAAAAATAATATTCCTATGTAATACACAACATATGAATTAAAATATTGGGCAATAGGTCACATAGTTAATAATTTCCTTTATAGTTTATCTTGTAACATGCAGTACATTGTATATCACATAGGCCCACACTGGTGCAGGTTTAATTGTGAGTAATTGATTAAGATGCACTTTGAATTTAATAAATACAATTGAACACATCTTACAAAATTTTACATTTTATTCACAGCATCATTCTTCCAAGACTTTCAGCTAACATCTAAACATTGCACTTGATTTCTCACATCGTTTTGCACATTAGCTGCATTATTATTTCCAGTTTGTAGATAAGGAAACTGAAGCACATGGATTATGAAAATTATTCGAGGGAATAGAGCTAGTAGGTAACAAAAATTGAAAAAGATTGACACCCAATAGGATGGCTTTAGAGTCCACATACTTAATAGAC